TTCTGTATTTTCTGACCTGCCTGTTGCCCAACGTTTTGATTACCTCTGCTTGTGATTTAGATTCCCGTGTACTGACCTCCCTTCTGATTAAACAGACTTTGTATCTTCTCTAAGTGTTTTTGGATTTGTGCATTTGGGTTCTTAGTACAATTGTCACATTGCAGGAAGTCACATGACTAGAAATACGTCATGCTGACACTTTTGTGTTGCTAGATGGAAAACCAAATCTCCCAAATGACTTTTTTCTGTTTAGGCCAGGCTTACACTCTGCAAAGTCAGGCTGTATCCGACTCAAATGTTTGAGTCGATGACTCAAATGTTTGAGTCCGATGCACACTGGACTCAAATGTTTGAGTCCGATGCACACTGGACTCAAATGTTTGAGTCCGATGTACACTGGACTCAAATATTTGAGTCCGATGCACACTGGAGTGGAGCAGCACTGCAAAGAGAGAGAGAGAGAGATCAATGATAATTAAGGGAGGTCAAATACCCTTTTTCTCGTAAGTGGCAGCCGAGGACACGACTGCATCTGTCAGTCTTCTTCAGAGAAGATGAAACTGGTCTAAAACATTTCACTTCCCTCTCTTAGCTCAGTAACCGTTCAACAGACAGGCACCACTGCTTAACCGTGACAACAGACACGTTTCACTACTTAAAACAAGACGTTATGAGCTACTTGTTTTAGACTTTAGATGCAGTGAAGTTTGGTTTGCAAAAGACAAATTCAGAATTTTGCTGTAATTCTGTGATAAGTCTTTGTATATGTTGTATCCACTTTCAACATTTTCTCATTAAAAAACATTTTTAATCCTTGAGAAAGGGCAAACACAAGCAACACAAAAAAGTTGGCAAAATACTTTTTCAGGTTTTAAAGAATAGTTTAAATGTTGTTTGAATTGTGTATATGAAAAACTGAAACTTGTGGAAAATAATTGTTAAAGCTACTGAAATACTTTTCAGAAAACTTTTAAAATACTTGAAAGACTCATCATCAGATCAGCTCATTGAGTGATTGAAATCCATCATTTCCATAAAGAGCCACTTTGCATGAGCAGCAGCATGCTCCAGTGCTCGGGGAGAGTTTAAAGTCCTGAGAGTTGAACACTGCAGGACTGACAGCTGTCCTTCATCACAACAGGAGACACAGAAATCCTCCTCCTCCTCTCATCCAAAAACATGACTTTGATCTGCGTCCTCATCTGGACTCTCCTCCTCTGCTGCTGCTTCACAGGTAAAGTCCAGACAATCAAACTCCTCTCCTCTATGAACATCCGTCTCTCTGAAATGAAGCCCACACAACCCTGATGCTGCTTCATGTGTTTGTCTCTGTCTCCTCAGAGTCCAGAGGACAGGTCACAGTGACTCAGTCTGCAGCAGTGAGATCTGCTCTGGGAGCCTCCGTCACTTCTCATGTACCAGTGAGGATGTAGATACTACGGCGACGACGAACCCTTTTAGCCTGGTACCAACAGAAAGATGGAGGAACTCCTAAACTGCTGATTTACTATGGTAGCACTCGAGTATCGGGACTTCAAGTCGTTTTACAGGCAGTGGATCAAACTCTGACTTCACTCTGACCATCAGTGGAGTCCAGACTGAAGACGCAGCAGTTTACTACTGTCAGAGTTGTCACTATATCAACAGTGAGTGGGTGTTCACACAGTGAAAAAGCGTCGTACAAAAACCTCCCTCAGTCAGCCTGAACAGAAACCAGACTGACTGCTGCAGCAGGAAGCTTCTGCAGAGACTGACACACTTCACTGAGGACACACACTCAAACACTACACTGACTGGTTTCCATCACCTCTTCCCTGTAATACAAAAACTACACAATCAGTTATTCAATATCATATATTTCCACTATACAGTACTTAGCATTTCAAAATGAACCCTTGGCATATGTCAGATATTTATGAAAAGATTTTTAGTGTTGTCCTCGTTCTCTTCTCAAAGGTGACTTCAAGAGAGTGTGGGGTAAAGCCGATCACAGAGCCAGCCTCTTTGATCAGCTTATTGATCCTATTTGTATCATCCAAACAGAAGCTGCCCCCCCCCAGCACAGAACAGCATAAAAGAGGACACTAGCCAAGATACAAAACGTACAGAAGGTTCTTGCTAAAGTCAGAGGATCTAAGCTTCCTTAAGAGACTTGACTGAGCCTTCTTTAAAGCCACATCAGTGTCCATTTTCCAATTTAATTACTGTCCATGAAGACATCGACATATTTATGAAACTGGACAGTTTGGATCTGCTATGAGGGGAAACATCGTCTTTCTTTCTTCTAAAATCAATAATACTTTCCAACATTCAATATGCATCACACCAGCTGACTAAAGATTCAATCTATGTTTTTGTTGGTCAGATTATTGCCTTGGGTAAGTAGGTGCACGAGAGCAGTAACATCTGAAAACTTGTGGACATGATGTCTGTGCACACTAACACAATCAGGACCTGGAGAGATGTCAGTGGGGCTGCTACACACTGCGACACAGGGAGCACAACAGAGCTGTTGGGGGTTCAGTGTCTTGCTCTAGGACACCTCTATAGCACTCGGAGAGTGACCTGGGACCTGGCAGCTTCCATACTTTGATGTGTACAGGGACTTAAACCAGCGACCCTCAGGTTCCCAAACAAGGTCCCTACAGACTGAGCTACTGTCGCCACAAATATATAAAATACAGCGCCTGCTCTATCAACTGAGCTAAACTGGTGCCCTGCAGAGGAAAGGTTAGTCTGGTTCCAAACTTGTTTCCATAAGAGTCCTACTAATTATATCCAAGAAAAGCAGAGCACCCAAAGCACCACAGGTAAAAGAAGGAGTTTACTACTGTCAATAAAAAAAACATTTGAATTGTTTTAATTGATAATATCTCTTTTTATGAGTTAAGTATTAAATCTTTTCTTTTGACATCCCAACAGAATATGCAGAACAGTCTTAACCCTAACCCTACCAAAAAGCCTTTGAATAAACTTTCCACAATGTGTGTTCTCATGATTTTAATTTATGTATTTAAATCTAATTTTGACAACCACAGAGCAGGCATTGAACAAAATGCCAGAAGCAATGTTTTATCACTTTATGCTGATGATATCATCCGTTTTATTTGTAACACATTTCTTACCCACCTTCATTATTTTCAGAGATTTAACAAATCAACACATCAGTCATCAGATTGAGACATTTCACCATCTTCAACAGCAGATTTTGATGATATAAGATTATTTGGAAGTTTCCATTGCTATTTTTTTTTATTCTTTAGATGAACTTACCAAAGTCCGTTCAAAAATTGTTAACCTGTTAAGAAATGAAAGATATGCACAACAAACACTGTTTGATTCCATTTTTATTCTTTTGCTCATTTTAAGAAAAACTGTCAATAAAAAGGCAAGAAAAGTTAACGTTGAAACATAAAATCATAGAGAGGGAAAGAAGGCATTTAGCGTGCAAACTGAGGGCAGTTTCAGAAGTGAAACAACAGCAGGGGAAACCAGCAGCAGAGTCCAGGTGATACAGCTCAGTCCTGGGAACACTGGTCCCTCCTCAGTGTCTCTGAGACCAGCGTCTGGGAGCCCTGGGTGGCCTCACAGGTCACAGAGCCCACCTTCGTCCACTGGCCTGCAGAGAGCCTCAGGGTGCTGCTCCAGCTGTAACGAGCGTCCTGCTCCATCACCGCAGGGCCCCTGCTCTCCTCCCAGCTGCCGCCGCTGATGCCGTCCACCTTCCAGGCCAGACTCCAGTCTGAGGGGAAGCCCTTGTTGGCCAGGCACACGAGCGTGGCCTTCCCCTGCTGCAGCTCCTCATTGGAAGGGGGCAGAACCATCAAGGTGGGACGGGCTTCACCTAGGAGACACCAATCAGAACAGAGGACAGGAACCACACAGCTGTCAGTCAAACACATCACTCCTGGACACCTTTGCAGTTGAAAGCAGAGTTTCTCCTTTAAGGAGTTTCTGTCAGATGTTTTTTTCTGCTTCAGCAGTCACTCACACATTGTTTCACTTCCCTCTCAGAAATCTGTCATGCAAATCAACACAGAGACGATCATCGTACAGAGAGACCAGAATACACTGGACTTAAAATATATACGCTGAAAAATCATCAAATCACTCAAACCTTTGAAATACCTATTTTTCTAACTGTTGAGTGGAAACATGAACCAAATCTATCAATAAAACATGTTTTAAATCATAAAAGGCTAAAAAATCTTAAGTGACATAATCTGCAGAAAGAGATCAGAGATTTTGAACATTTTCTTTCAAAATTCTTACAACTTCCCTTTGAGCAATTTATTCAAAATGACAAAATGAAATAAGGGCCTTTAAGAGTTATCGTTGATGTGGAATAGATATCTGAAACCAGAGAATTATTTTTTATGAATCTGAAGCTGCTGAACTGAATGTAAACGATCTGTCCTGAGATGGTACAGGAGGACAAACACAAACAGGAAAAAAATATAATGTAAAAATGTATAAATGTTTCTTTATATTGTAAATGAAAAAAAAAAAATCACGATTACATTACACTGTTTAGAAATCAACAGAAACTTACCTCCGACATCCAGTCTGGTTCCTCCACCAAAAGTCCACCACAGTGATACAAAGTCACTGAGTCGCCGTACAAAAACCTCTCACTAAAGAAATTTAAAAAAAATGCTCTTGTCTGCAAAACCTTCAAATGAACTGAAAATTATAAAGAATACATTTCCATTAATATTCAAAATTAAGACATTTTATTCCGGGGATTTCTCCAGAAGCATGAAGACGGTTTTAAAAACATGTCTTATTGAAAGTTAAAAAAATTAACTTTATAATTAGTATAATCCAAGTCCCCAGTTAGTCAGAGCATTTCCATAAAGAGCCACTTTGCATGAGCAGCAGCATGCTCCAGTGCTCGGGGAGAGTTTAAAGTCCTGAGAGTTGAACACTGCAGGACTGACAGCTGTCCTTCATCACAACAGGAGCCACAGAAATCCTCCTCCTCCTCCTCATCCAAAAACATGACTTTGATCTGCATCCTCATCTGGACTCTCCTCCTCTGCTGCTGCTTCACAGGTAAAGTCCAGACAATCAAACTCCTCTCCTCTATGAACATCCGTCTCTCTGAAATGAAGCCCACACAACCCTGATGCTGCTTCATGTGTTTGTCTCTGTCTCCTCAGAGTCCAGAGGACAGGTCACAGTGACTCAGCCTGCAGCAGTGAGATCTGCTCTGGGAGCCTCCGTCACCTTATCATGTACCAGTAAGGTGTAATACTACTGACGAACCCTTAGCCTGGTACCAACAGAAAGATGGAGGAACTCCTAAACTGCTGATTTACTATGGTAGCACTCGAGTATCGGGGACTTCAAGTCGTTTTACAGGCAGTGGATCAAACTCTGACTTCACTCTGACCATCAGTGGAGTCCAGACTGAAGACGCAGCAGTTTACTACTGTCAGAGTTATCATAGCATCAACAGTCAGTGTGTTCACACAGTGAAAAAGCGTCGTACAAAAACCTCCCTCAGTCAGCCTGAACAGAAACCAGACTGACTGCTGCAGCAGGAAGCTTCTGCAGAGACTGACACACTTCACTGAGGACACACACTCACGAATGTGCGCTCAGTTTAGTTTACTGTCCTGCAGACTCTTTTACCTAAAACAACTTTTCAACTTACACAATAACAGCCAATGTTTAGGGACGGATAAAAGCAACACATAGCAGTACTTGAATAAGAGAGAAGCAAACACTATACACTTTATGTGTTTTTATTTGCCTCTATAAGGTGTTCACAAATGTCCAACTGAACCTGGGCCTTAAAGCCCCGTTTCCACCAAGCGGTCTGGTTTGGTTCAGTACAGTCTGACACGGTAAACCCTGATCTTGTTTGCGTTTCAACAGCCAACCGTACATCATAAAACAACAGCGGCACGACAGACAGCCAAGACATTCAATAAAGAAGAAGAAGAATGTGACACAGTAAATAAAAATGAATGATTGCATCTCCCAGGTCGTCCATGGGGCGGAGCTACGCGCTGACATATAGTCGCATAAAAACAAAAACAGCCTTTTAATGACTCTCTCCAAAACGTGGTGCGTTTTGTGTTTGTCCTTTATTACCGCTGTCAAGTGAAGATTCTTCTTTCGACCAATCAACAGACTGCAGTGTTTCTAGCTCCAACCTTTAGGTCGGTTCAGTACGCTTGGCACCCCAACAGAAGCGTGCCAAAAAAGTATTCATGACAGTAGAAACCCAATACATGTGTACCATACCGAACTGAACCGGACGGGTTCTTAAGTTTCTAACTACACTCTTCTCCTCTGTCGCCCCCCGGTGGTGGAAAATAATTCCAAACTTCATTGGATCCGCAGAGTCCCTTTGCACCTTTAAGAAAAAGCTAAAGACCCAGCTCTTTATGAACACCAATGACCTTCATGATGATGATGAAGATGAAGATGGTGTTGTTTGGTAATGATGATCACGATATTTAGGATGGTTTTGATGCTGATTAGAACTCTAAGAACAGCTGTTGAAGTTGTGCTTTCCTGTCAGCATCTGTGTGTCAGATCAGACTGAAAGCTGTTCATTTGCACTTACTGACTTTGTTTCCTCCTCTCTAGATCCTCGCTTGTGTTGCACTTTGGATAATAGCGTCTGCTAAGTGAATTGTAGAGTTGAAGTGACTCTGAAAGATTAAAAGTCCCAAACCTCAAAGGCACAGTTTCTTTTCCTTTCAAGTGATCACAGGTATCTGGATCCTGCTTCTCCATTCAATGCAAAGTGTGTGAAAACAAAACCTTGACTGGCTCCTTTCTGGATCCATAAAAGAAACAAACAGTCAAATGGAGTCAAAATATTCAACCTGAAATAAGAAAAACAAGTCAATATGTAGAAAACTGATATACTCTGTAAATAGATAAGAAAATGCACGAGCATCTTCTTAGAAACACATAACCATCAAATCTTCACACCCATTACATCATCATTAATTTCAAGAACTACTCAAGAACTACTGAAATGTAGCTTCATGCCACACCTGTGACTACGTCAGCTGAATGTCCTCGTCTCTATGAGGTGTAAAGTGATCCTCTTCAGTGAGTCCTTACAGGAGAGTCTCTGTGGAGACTGAATGAGCTGCTTCACTAACAGTCTGGATTTATTAACTGAGTCTGGGATGAACTGAGCAGGATATAAGGCCATTTTTAAAAGACGTACTCTGCTGCCCTCTGGTGGCTGAATGAGGGAAATGATACTGACAGAGGTACAACATTGTCTTGTTGAAATAAACACACTGATAATTATAATATGAAACTATTCATCAAACGGAAGAAGACAATGCTTTAAAGCAAGATGAATGAAACATACAAGACGACAAGGACACATTTTTTAAGCATGGGAGATAATTATAAGAAGAACTAACTCAAGACATCGTATTTCATTTAGAACAATATTATAAAATCAATATACTACCTAAAGCTAATACTTCCTTCAACAAAATAATACTGTCAATGTTATGGGAAGATGTGGCTTAGAGGTACAGTGGTTTGGTTGTCAGAAAAGTTGGTGGTTCGATCCCCAGTTGAAGCAACCCAAATGGTTCCTGAAGGCATCACCATCAGTGTGTGATCGATTGATGGACAGTTTGGCTCGTCATGACCATAGACTGTAAATATTACTGGATGAACCCTGACCCGTCTGTTACATAGACAGAAAATGAGTCCAATCGACGGCCGCATCCATATTGGATTTGCAGTCTCAACCTAACTTCGGATCAACCTAACAGCAGTAAGGCGGCTTAACTCCGCCCATTCAGCTCGACGTCAGCAGTCCACTTACAGCATAGCTAACAGCTAGGCTGCTATCATCAACTATTCCTGCTCATCCTGAGAAAAACTAAACAGTAAGTTAACATTTAACTTTCTACAACACAGTTAAACGAATTATTCAACCAAATATTTAATTAAAGTCTTAAAACTACACTTTTTTAAATATACAATCATGGTTATTAGTTATTTGTCAGAGCAGTTAGACTTGTCAGTGTTAGCAGAGAAATACATAACAAAGTTTATCCATAGACTGTAAATAAATATGAGACATCCAGAAGAAATCAATATTACAAAGCATACAGTTCATGTTACTGTTCTGACAAAAAGAGGAATGTCTGTGTCTTATATTTACTGATGTCAACAGCGAGAGTGTGAACATGACAATTGAAAAATAAATATTTAGTATTTATTATAAGATATTTGTTTTCTATTGAACCCCGTGAAGTCATGGAGTCTGTGGACAGTGTCAGCTTCACACCAAAAAACTAAGTATTAGAAAAATAGTGTTTAAGACTGGCATCTATTATGATGAGTTGCAGCTACCTTGTTCAATATTATTCCTGCAGATGTGGCTAATAACAAAAAAAACCTGAGCTGTCACATGTAGTTAACTGTACATTTGTCTGAGGCATTAATTGAACACCTTGTATTTCTCCTATAGACACAGTGTGGATTATTGGTGACTGGTCCATCGAGGTGCCCAGAGAGCTGCAGAGACAGAGGAAGAAACCTGAGCCTCAACAACATCTGTATTTGTTGGTTCTTCTGGGGTGGACTTCAGTTGCTTCTT